GCCGCGCTCCAACGCCCGCCTCTCGCCACTGCCTCCCGACGCCCGGCCGCGCGGCCGCCTGCGTCTCTTTCTCCCTCTCTCCTTTGAAAACTGATCTTTGGCTCTTAGTGTGAAAGTGATTTGAATTTGGCTCGGCGGCGCTCTGCGCCTGCGCTCAGCCTCTGGCATGCTGGCTCCTTCCAAGCAGCTGTTTTGGGTTTGAAATTCCAACATGGCAGAGGCTGCAGTCCGTCTTCCCTTCAAAAACTTGGAATGATTTCAAATCATAGGCACCTTCACTTAACCCTAGCTTCCATTCATCAGCAAACACATCGGATCGATGCTACGCTAACCTATCGGGAGCTCGCTCCGCGCGTCCAGGTAAGGAGAGCTTCGTAGTTTTCTACCATCTGTTTAAATTTTTTGTTTTTGTTTTATTTTTAAAGAATATAGATAGATCCAAGACCTGTAGTGAGAAGAGGTCTCTGAGTTGTGCCGTAAACAGTAAATTTAATTTGCATTCGTTTCTATTCAGTACGCCAACCTGCTGTCTAATTTCTCCGTAGAAAGTAGCCCTGAAACATTATGATGCATATTTCTGCAGCTTAATCATTGTAACAATAGTATGGGATTAAGAGTTCGTGACTGCAAGAATCTCGCTTTTCGCGATATTGGGCTTACTTACTACTATCTTTTTACTTCAAAAAATAAAAAAACAAAAAATAAGAAAGCGGAGCCATAGGGTGGGGCTAGACTTTCTTCGGGAACTAACTTCTAAGTAAATACGAAGTGTAAATAAGAATCTTGCACACACACAAAAAGTTGAGGTTAAATTACAATCTCGTGGCTGGGGTATCGAGAAAAATGTCAGAGGATCGGTTGCAGAAAAATGTAAGCACATCATCCGGGAGGGGGTACAGCGTGGTGGGCGTATTGTTGGCAAGGAACGGGAGAGAAAGATGTATAATTTAATGGTATATACAATCCACTGATCCTATTACCGTCCTCCCCGGAGCTCTTGTTAGTTTCAATGGGAGTGAGTGAAATTGACATGGACTTGCATTCCTGGTCATGTGCTTTTTTTCCTTTCTTTCTTCTCCTGTGATCTGAGATCCCCTTTTTGTTGATGTTGCTTTCCCCCTTAATTATATGCATGTAGGTTAAATGAATACCTGACGAAAGGGCCCACGTTTCAAGGCAGTGACATTTGATAGCTGAGAGGAAAAGTGGCTTTAATGAAAAGCAACCTTTGGAATTCCTGCTTGTGAGAAATCCAATTCAGCTTTTTGTGCTACCAGCAAGAAATGATCAGTAGCACCAGTGTTTATGGTATGTCAGTTTTGGAATTTACTTCCTTTGCATTTAAATAGGGAAGACAAATTAAATAGCATGATAAAACCATTGGAGACTGCTTGGGAATCAGATGCTCACGATGTACAGTTCTTTTAAAATATGCCTATATCTGTTTATTTTAATCTGTCACTATGCTTTTTTTTTTGCATTTGCTATCACTTGTTTATGTATTTTAGTTTTAATACATTACTTGCGGACAGGACACTTTCATTGGTTTTAGCTCTGATCTTGAAGTTGCATGTTTCTAGTAATGCTCTCTATAGGGCTGAAGTCAAATGGTATGTAAATTAGTTTAACTCAGGGTGGGATTTTTGTTGTTGTTGTTGTTGTTTTGGGGTGGGGGGCAGCTGGTTGGAGAGGGTGGGAGTGTGGGGTAAAGGTTGCCAACTAATGAATATATATATATATATATATATATATATATATATATATATATATATACACACACACAGGACTGGATTGGAATTTTCTTTTTCTTTTTTTTCTCAACCTAATAATGGAATTTGACTGTCTGCTCTCTTGATTGCACTTTCTGGAGTAATCGGTTCGTCTGTGTGGACACCCCCCCTTGGGTGAGTGAGTGAAGGTGTATCTTTTAAATGAAAATAAGATATGTAAGTGCATATTTTTTTGATTACTCCAGTCTTTAAGGTCTTATAAGAAATAGTGGCAGTTTTTTCTCCTCTTGCCATTCACTTGTCTGTCTGTCAGTGATTTTTACTTTTAACCTGTGACAGAATTAAATAATCAGGCACTGAATTGACTTTATATGAAATCACTCTTTCCTCTTTCTTTAAAAATAAAAAAGTCAGTTAAATGGAGTGAGAGGGATTTTCAGTAGCTCTCGTGGCTGTGCTGTGTCTACTTTGTAATACTCAATTAAGACCAAAAGGGGCCAACAACAAAAAGATGAGAAAGTATTTTGCATGACCAAAGAATATGTGCACTTTAAACTGTTTTGTTGTTGTTGCTGATGTTGTTTCGTTTTTTCCCCATGCCATGGATTTCTCTTTAAAAGAATGAAAGGAGAGACAGAAATAAAAGAAAGAAAATGAGAGAGGGGCAAAGCTACCAGGCATCTGTAGTGTGGCCCTGGCTAGTGCTTTCTCATAACACAAATGAGAATACTAGGGAAAGGACTTCAGGACTCCTAGCGCGACATGCACTTCTGCCTGGGCTCTGCTGACTGTAGGACTAAACACACACCACACTTGCAGGATAGGAAGGATTTGATTGGATTTTGCATTTGGAACTTGTTGACTTTGAATCGATCAATAAGAAGACTGTTTATTTTAGATGCACATAATTTGCCCTGAGAAATGTTTTAAGGAGGAGAGAGCACAGCTTTTTTTTTTTTTTCCCCTGGAGCTGTTGGAGCGAATGGGATTGCCAGATGGGCGATTTCCCTCTGTGATGTTAAAGCTGTAATATATATTCAGAGCAGATTGGGCTGCTGCCTGTGATCAGGAGGATATTACATTTATAAATTTTAAATCGGAGCTCGGACAATGTGCTGAGAGCAGAAATTGCATGGTCTGACTGTTCACCGTATTGATACTTAAACATGGTTTCTGGATAGTAGTAATACTCATTATTGCTATAATAAGTAAAAACACACATGGGCAACAATACCATTGAAGGCATGTAACAGCAAATTCTAGTATGTAAATTGCTCCGAGACTACACTTTGCTTACAATTAAGTAATAGTCAGATAATTTATTTCTCTGTGTGTTTAAATGCCGTGTGTGCAAATGATGTTCAGAAGTCTTGTTATCATTCACTGGAATCTGGTAGCATCTGTGTGTACATATATATGCATATATATACACATGTGTATAGAAAGTAGACTCATGTATATATGAATTAAAGGGCATCAGTGGCTTCTATTTTCTATCACTTTGATTGTTTTAGATTTTGTTTATCTCAGATGTGTGGCCTAAAGGAACCAGAGCCACAAACCTAAAAGGCTACGAAGTGGGCAAGTACCCACACTCCTCAGCTCTGCTGTTGCAAATTAAAAGTGTGTTGTGGTCAGGAAATGAAAGCTACAATGTCTCTTTTGAACAAGTCGTTTATCAAGAGAAACATCTATCAGGGGCTGCCTTGTCACATTGATCCTCTAAAAGTTAGGTCTGAGGTGGAAGCTTCTTTGATGCTTTTGATCCTAAATTTAATACAACAGGGAGAAAAAGAAAGATATTTTGACCAATATAGATTTTTTTTAAAAAATTGTTTCCTGGAACCAACAAGATATATTTGTTAGTACTGTACTATGTGTGAAGTTTTCTAACCATCACAGTTGGTAAAGGTTTCAGGGGGAAATCTCAGGGTTTATAAATTGATGGTTGTTCAACCATACATTTATAATACTTCAGTTATGGGCAGCTTCTTGATTAATATGGACACTTTGAAAAGAGATTGTTTGCAAGGAAAATTTATTTTGAAAGAGTGTTTGGAACAATATTGAGAGTCAGCACTTTTCATTCATTTAAATATTGAGTTCTTTCTTCTCTTTATTCTTTTACTCTTGGTGGTTTTCATTGTAATTGTGACTAACTTTTATTTGGCAAAGCACTCATTTTTATTTCCTTTTAAACTCTGTCCCCAAACATTCTTGCATATGCCATTGCTATTGTTTATTAATTTTGCATGTGGTTGGTTATCAATATAAACTGTACAGACTTATGAGTCTTTTGGAGTCTCAGTTTGAAAATAGGGGTACCACATTAAGCATGGCACATTTTCCTGAATACAGTGCATGAATTATTAAAAATTAAAAAAAATTCAAAATGATAACCCAGTTTTTTTCCCAAAAATATTTTGTAAAGACAGCTAAAAGCAGTTTGCTTTATTTTTTGGATGCAAAGATAGAAAAGTACTTCTTTGAGACAGAGTTTTTGGCTACCTGCCTTACAGGGCTGCTGGCCACTTGTTCTTCCATGTACTCTATTAAATAAGCAGGCAAGAGAGTGGTGGGAGTTTTGAGGAGTGTAATACTTGCTAATTAATCATGTCTGAAATGAAAGAATCATAGAAGTGTAATACAATCTCATTGTTGTTTTCCTGGAAGAGGGTGAGACTTTTTTGTTTGGAAGCTGTGCATGTGAGTAGACTCGCTTTTCTTTGCTTTTCTCCTAAATAGAGAGTTTATAGGGTCTTTTGCAATTATTTCAAGAAACATTAAAAAATACTCTATTTTTCTTCTCACACTGAATCTGTGTGGTTCTTAAACCAGCATCTAACCCTTCTGAGGACAAACAGGGTTTCTTTCTTTCATTCTTTCTTATTTTTTTTTAAAGTTGTATTTCAGACGCTTGGCAGTTGAGCTTCTAGCAGAAAATCTTTTTTGTTGTTGTTGCTGCTGATGATTTTGCTGTGAGGAACTTTGGAGAGCATTTTGGAGGCTGCTGCTTCTGATAGACATGCAGCAGAGTAGAAATTTCATTAATTATCTTCAGCTAATACAAGCATGTGGTCAGAGCACCAGACAGCAGCTTCTGTAGGAGTCCACAGAGACAGTCAGCGGCACTAGCTGCTCCTTGTAAGATGGTTTAGAAATCCAGCCTCCTGAAAGAAGTGCATCCTTTCCTTACTGCTAAACTGCCTTGTTCCCCGAGTTCCAGGCCGCCAGGCTTTAGATGTTACTATCTTGCCCAGGTTATACAGAAAGGCAGATGCAGAAAGTTTGCAGTGGGTTTCAGGATTGCCATTTCCAGGTGAAGGTGGGCTCTCTGAACTCCCTGTTTCTGTCAGTGTTTTTGGAAGCCTAATGATTGCCTAATTAAGTAATCAGTTTTAATCGTCCCAAATCAGCAGAATGATTAGGTGTATTTGAAACAATTGCAGGCCTTTTTGGTTTTAAGCTTTCTAGCTGTTCTCAGAGCCTTGCTTTTACAGGAGTGTCTGCAGCTTTTTCCTTTCATCAATGAACTCCCCTGTCTGAATTCCGTCTATCACTTTATAAAGTGCCACAGGCATTGTTGTGGAGATAATGCATTTAATTGCCAAGAATTTAAATTCATTTATCTATTTTTGATAACAAAAAATTGTTGCAGACATTTGTGGAAATGTTGGCCGTTACTGGTGGAGAAGGTTATATTAATTACCATATCAGTTGTTGTTTGAGTTATCGATAAATTAGAATAAGCAAATAGAACAGAAGAGCATGCAATTAAAAATGTCACAAGACATTTTTAAAGATAAACCACTATGACAAATACGTGAACCACTGTTTTTATAGAGATATATAGAAGCTAATACTCTATTGTCATTTGAACTTCGCTATTTCTTCAGGTTCCACTGCAAAGACTGCAGTCCAAAAATTGATAACTTATGAACACACAGCCATATACATTTTTTCCTTGGAAACAATAAAAATAAATGGCACCCTCAGCTAATATTTTCATGGTTGGAATTTTATCATAGTTTATTCTTTTTTTCTAATCTCATTTGAAATTAATTTTTTATTTTTTTACTTCTTGTTTTTCTTTTATTTCCATTTAAGTTCTTGGGGAAATTCAAGCATAGGCTTCGACAGGAATGCTGATTGCTAATTCTTGCATTTGCTCTGACCATTTAAATGTCTGTAAGTTGTTTACTAAAAGAAAATCAGAATAGACCAAAAAAAAAGTGAAAATAAGGAGTTGGGAAAGCATGGTGAAGATGGATGGTACTTGTAGGTTTAAAGCAAATTGAAAGCAAGTGGGTATGCCAGATTCTTTAGGCTAAAACCACAGGTACGTGCCCAGCCCTGGGATGCCCCTTGGATACCTGTTGACTAGTGGTCACTCAGATTGAGGGGGCAGAGCAGATAGGTGATCCGAAACCATCAAAACACGAGATATCATCTGGCGCTGTCTGTGAATAATATTTACATATTTTATGCAACAAATCTACTTCTTGTCCTGTTGCTTGAATATTGACACTCTGAAGCACTCCAAAGGCAGATTTCAGTTCATGAGAATTCATGTCAAAT